CTTTGAGTTAATTACGAGTATGCACCCAAAGTGGATTACAGCAGCCTTATGCAAAACAGAGTAAACTTTTTTTTTTTTTTACCATCCACCTTCTCTCTCTGCAGCTAGTCTGCAACCTCTGCTGGAAGGAAGGTGAGTGCAGCATGTATTCAGGACAGTGCACTAAAGACAATTAGCTTAGGTCAATATATCAGTGACAAAACAGTCTCATAAAATTCACTGATCTGAAATAGGTAATGATGAGGCCTTTTTACCCAGCTGTGTAACAGCAACCCATAGACACTGCCAGATTTGCACAAATTAGCAAGAAATCCAAACACAGTAAAGACTTGTGAATTTTTGTTTCAAAGCCACAGACTGCATTTTTGTTCAGATGAGGGGTGTTCACAAGTCAAGTGTACATCAGCGCTCAAATTTTAATGATTGAAATTAACTTTTTCGGTTTAATATTTAAAGTAAGTTTTTTTCATAACGTACGTGGTGCATTTGACAAAACAGAGCTGAAAGCGGCTCGTGCTGCGTCGGTCACTGCCTCCGCTCGGGTTTTTATTCTCTCTCTCTCTCTCTCTCTCTCTCTCTCTCTCTCTCTCTCTCTCTCTCTCTCTCTCTCTCTCTCTCTCTCTCTCTCTCTCTCTCTATTAATTCCTGCACTAAAATATTAATGTTCTGATTTTATTGAAAAACTTGTTCTGTAATAGTTCCTTTACTATTGTGATCAAATATATTCAACATGTTCTCACTCCCAGCGCGTCAAAAACAAACGCTTGGTCAGCCACCCTCCACGTCAGACCCCTGACGCCAAAAGTGCCCTTTTTCGTTACTTATGTGCGAAATGGGATTTTTCCCTTATTTGACTGCAGATCCCAATGCAGCGTAAAACTGAAGCGATGGGATGTCCGCTACCGTTGCATCCCAATGCAGCGTTACACTGACACCAAACAAGCTCATTGTACCTCACCTTAACCTTATCCTCTTATTTAACCTTATCCTCTTATTTAACCTTCCCCTCACCCCTATCCTAACCTTAACAATCTTGCCAGCGAACACGTTGGTGATGTGTCGATCGCTCTAAAAGCCGGCTCTATGAAGTGAACGGGCGGGAGCCGCCTCGTGATTGGTCGAGTTTGGACCGAGCCAACGCGAGGGGGAGGTTTCAACTACCAAGGTGGAGGTTAAAAGTAGAGGGTATGTGTAACCTCCCCCTCGCCAGATGGTGTGTTCTAACGTTCTCCTTGGGCGGCAAATACGAAAATTCACATTCAGACTCTGACTGTCAGAGTCAGAATGCAGGGGAAACAAACGCTTGATCGCAGTGAGAGTAACGTTTTAGGTAGCAAGAGGGTTAAGGTTAGGATGAGGGAGAGGGGAAGGTTATAAATGGCGAAACGTTAAGGTTAAGGTGCGGTTAAACGAGGTGGTTCGGTGCCGCATCGGTTAAATGAGGGTTAAGGCTAGGATGAGGGAGAGGGGAAGGTTATAAATAGTGAAACGTTAAGGTTTAGGTGTGGTTAAATGAGCTGGTTCGGTGCCGCATTTAAGGTTTAGGTGTGGTTAAACGAGCTGGTTCGGTGCTGCATCGGTGAAATGAGGGTTAAGGCTAGGATGAGGGAGAGGGGAAGGTTATAAATAGTGAAACGTTAAGGTTTAGGTGCGGTTAAATGAGCTGGTTCGGTGCCGCATCAGCGGATATCTAATCATGTCAGTTTTACGCTGCATTGGGATCTGCAGTTACAAAAGGGGAAAACCTCTTTTCGCACATAAGTAACGAAAAAGGGCACTTTTGGCGTCTGGGGTCTGACGTGGAGGGTGGCTGACCAAGCGTTTGTTTCCGACGCTTAGGGTGTGAGAATGTGTTGATATATTTAATCTCAATTCTGAGGCTGCTCTGTAAGTACACATAGCAACTTCTGATCAATCCATATCAATTTCAGACTTAAAATAATGTTTTGATGTAAACCACACCCACTTCCAGTTAAACTACACCCACTTCCGGGTTAGGTCACACCCACTCCAAGTACAGATACAGATACAGATAATTTAGATGGTTGAACAGATATGGATAGTGGTGTACTCGCTCATCCCTACTGTCAGTGTTTGTTGGTGTTGGAGCCTGCAGTTCACTTTATGAACTCAAAACATTTTTCTCATGCCTTTTAACAACATTCTAACAAAGCTATATGTATATTGTGGTGATTTAAAAAAATAACAATAAAGTGGTCCTCTCATATTTGTCTAAAAACCTCTGCCAAGAAATTCATTACTTGTTTCTTTTTTAATACAGAAATTAGTTGATTAACTTTTTGGTTTGCCAATAACACTAGGGGGTGCTAAAAGTAGGCCAAAACCACCAGAGCGCTTTTAAGCAGCTCTGTTCATCTGCTTGTGTTTGTGTCTTACTAACCGGATTATTACTTTAATTTCTTCTTTACACGAGAGGCAAAATTTTCACGACTAAAATCCAGAGTCAAACTTATATTACATATCTTTGTTTTGTAATTTAAGTGTAATTCAGGGTAGAATGCCTTCTCCAGATGAGGCCCTGCCCTAAGTGAAGGAGTTTAACCCTTTAAGACCTGATATAGAACAAGTTCGCCAGAACATATATTTACATTTTTACATGCTGTGGTGCCATTTTTTTTGAGTATTTCAACTTTCTATACATCAATACAACCCTTACATTCTAAATTTTAATTATATAATTGTAAAATGTTCATAGCAACAACATATTTTACTAAAATATGCAATTATCTATTCAGAAATTGAAAATCAGTTTCTGTTAGTACATATATTTTTCGTTATACAGAAATGCCACAGCTTTAAGATTCAAAATTTTCAATGGAAAAAAATGGCACACAATCCTTTCAAACAACAACAGAGTTATTTGAAGTGCTTCTATAAAATAGCTTCTGAGATACACTCATTTATATAAACTGTGACAAAAATGAAAACATAAATAATAATAATAATCTGCAGGAGTCTAGCATAATAATGTTGAATATTTGTCTAATTTTTAGTAGTATATAGTTTTCCTTTTCTCTCACTAATAATAATAAATGATAAATGACCCGTACTTGTATAGCACCTCTCAGAGTAAGGACTCCAAAGCGCTTTACACTACAGTGTATCATTTATCCATTCACACACACATTCACACACTGATGGTGATGAGCTACAATGTAGCCACAGCTACCCTGGGGCGCGCTGACAGAGGCGAGGCTGCCGAGCACAGGCGCCACCGGTCCCTCCGACCACCTCCAGCAGGCAAGGTGGGTTAAGAGTCTTGCCCAAGGACACAACAGCAACATTCTCTGTCCGGAGCCGGGATCGAACCTGCAACCTTCCGATTTCTGGACAACCCGCTCTACCTGTTGAGCTACTGCCCCATAATAACAATAATAATTGTTAATTGCTGCCCCATAATAACAATAACAAAGAATATTGCATGAATATATACGTGAGGAAACTGAAAGTGAAACTTAAACATCACCAGGCGCTGTAATGGCGTCAACTGCTTCGAGGAGGGAGGATGTAGTGTTTGGCAGGTCTGTGAGTCATCAAAACGTTCATAGTGGTGTGTGTGTGTGTGTGTGTGTGTCGGAAGTTTGTAGTGGGTGCATGATGTGTGTAGGATGTTTGTCTAAATGTATTATTGCGAAAAAGCACAAGAAAAAGTCGAAAGACTAGGATTACAAAGAACTACAATTCACGGGAAAATGACGTCCAAGCAGGTGATTGGGTGAGTGATAATCATGTGATAGTTCACATTGACAACGTGATGATGTTTATTCTGGCGTGTGAAGCCCTGTGAGCTGCAGATCAGAACGACACAGCGTCTGCGTCTGAATGACAACGCTTTTCTTATTTGCACATTTTGGTTGTTTTTTGCAAACTCATTAGCAGAAATACGCAGTGCTCTGAGACATGTTCAGTGTGTGAGATTTAAGTGTAAATCCTTCGGTTTACTATGCAAAAAGTAGTTTCAGTTCTACAAGCATTTGAACACAGACATGCAAATGGGAGCGCCGGCACTCCCGTTGGTCTTAAAGGGTTAAATATCTTGTTCAAAAGTGAGGGAAAGATGGAACGCGAGACCGATAGATGGATTGGTGCCGCACGTGGGCATTGTACCGGTCTGTTGTGGTGACAAGAGAGCTGAGGTGGAAAGCAAAGCTTTCAATTTACCATCTTTGGTGTGTTGTTGCTGTGCTGACATTCTAATTCCATCTTTTCGTTCTTTTTAAAACACAGAAAAGTTTTATTTACCTGCAACGTTTCATTTGCGGCTGCAAACTTCATCAGCCTGACAAAGTTTGCAGCCGCAAACGAAACGTTGCAGGTAAATAAAACCTTTCTGTGTTTTAAAAAGAACTAAAAGATGTAATTTCAATTTGCCAGTCGATCTACTTTCCTACCCTCACTTATAGTCACAAGCTTTGGGAAGTGACCAAAAGAATGAGATCACTGATACAAGCGGATGAAATGAGTTATCTCTGCAGGGTGGCTGCGCTCTTCCTAAGACAATGGTTCTCAATCCTGGTCCTGGAGGACCGGCATCCAGCATGTTTTAGTGATTTCTTTAGTCCAACACACTAGATTCAGCCATTGAATCACCTGCAGCAGCTCCTCAGGCTCTGCAGAAACCTGTTAATCACACCTGATTAAATCAGGTGTGTTGAAGCAGTCTTAAAACTAAAATATGCTGGATACCGCCCCTCTAGGACCAGGATTGAGAACCACTGCCCTAAGAGATGGGGTGAGAAGCTTAGTCATCTGGGAGGGGCTCAGAATAGATTTGCTGCTCCTACAGTCTGGGCCTCTTTGCTTAGGCAGCTGCTCCTGCGACCCGACCCTAGATAAGTGGAAGATAATGAATCGAGTGTATTTCAAGCCTAGGTCCCATCTCTGGTGTTGATACAATCAATCATGATTTTCCCTATCCAAGTTCCTATACTAAAGGGAATGACAAATTTAAGTCTTCATACCAAGAGAGCCCATTTTACCTTCATATCAGGGCCATTGCAGTTGAGGCTCATCCCTCGTTCATCAGTGATCTCTGTAATCTCTGACAGGTCATCATCCTCAAACTCATCCAGACTGATGTCATGAGTCAACCTGGTTGAAGGGGATGGTCACAAAAGAGAAGAGGAAGAGAGAGAGGTAATAAAAATTTAAGTTAACATCTTTTAACGTATTGGCAAGATTGTAATAAAACTACACCAACGTTTCAGTATCATGTCCAAAGTAAAAGAAAACAAAATGGGCTTCAACACTAAGTGGTCTGTTGGTCACAACAGTTAGTAATTCCAACCTCTTGAGTCGTAAATCTGTCAGAAAATGGAAATATGAAACAAACAGAAGAAAAAATGTTTTTGGCCTTGCAGACTCCTGTGCATCTCCACCTTGATAGACAGGAAAATGAATTGTCCACCATTGCCAGCAAGATTCAATGAACTTTTAATAAACAATCCTCAATTTTCTTCATCTGCTATTAGGTCTGTCTGTTTTCTCTTTACCTTCCAGACATTTGAGCATGTCAGAAACTCATCAGGTAAATGCTATTAAAAGAAGATAATTGTGATCATAAGGAGCACAGCAGTGCTCTGTCAAAGAAACCTGGGAGAATCTGGAGAGCTGTAATCCTTGTGCCATCACTGAATAGAAATACTGCATTATTGGTGTGTCTCAGCATGCAGATGTTCATCCGGTTTCAACTGTCATCAGTCATCATGAGTATGGAGATTAGGGTAGAAGCTAAATTCTCAGAGGTAAAACGTGTTTCCCTCCATCATGAGAGCCAAAAAGAAGCTGTACAAAAATGGAGAAGTAAAAAGTAATGGGATTTAATTTAGAGGTGCTTCAGTACCCCCCAAACTGGCTAGAAACACCTATGATTGACCATTATGATATTTTCGTATCCCTCAAAATATGTTTCTCAGATCTTCTTGTCTTCATACAATCGTGAAAATGTTGTTTTAATGGCAAATAGTGTCTAGATGTGTTATCTAACCTTATCAGGACTAAGCTGCAGCTGACAAACTATAAGTTTTGAATGCTTCAATGGTTTTCTGCTTTTCAGGTGCAAAAAAAAAGCATGTATTCGTCCTTAGAGTACAGTAAAGTACTTCCAAATACTACCAAACTGAAGCTGGCTTTGTAACATGTAAAGAAGGGAAAAATAAACTAAAAGAGGACATAGACAATGCAAATATTGAACTGCTTGTATGCCTATCAGTCATCAGTACGGCATCCTACTGTGACTCTGGCTTTAGAAAAACAAGGAAGAGCAACTGAAGGGGAACAAGAGGTAAGACAAATTTATGTGATGATTCAACTCGGTTGAAAGAACCTATAAAGGCACTGGACAGTGAAATGGTAGGGAGGACAAAATTAAAATCCAGGAAATAGACTGCCTAGACAGGACAGTGTGACCCCTTTGCTGCAGTGACGTGTGGGTAAGGTGGATGCAGATGCCAGAGAAAAACAATAGTGTAAAATACAGGGCAAATTACAATGTCACATGAAACAGCACAGACATCAAGAGGTATGAGAAGATGAGCACACTGTGATGAGCAAACTCACATTAAGGATACAGGATGTTCACAACAACACATCTGTTCTAAACCTCAGTGATCTCCCAGTCCAAGAAACGTGGTTCTGTTCCTTCAGCAACTAAGATATTATGGAATGGTTCTCCGCATGCTGGAAGAGGTTCTGTTTTATCACCAAACTGTTCTCTGACGGTTGGAAGGACATCCTCTCAGGTGATATTTGGGTACCATTGTTTTTTCATTCATAGCTGAGGGTTAGGAGAAGCCCTATACACATGAAGGGCTTGAGAATTCTTCACTGCTGGCATGATACAGAAGCAACAGTGGAGCTCAGCTTTTCCTCTCCAGACAAGGCTTTGTATCTCTAAACGCCCCAAAACTTACTTTACCTCAATCATCAGTCTTTCAATTCATGAAATGTTTACAGGACAGCAGTCTGTCCCTGTTTCATGAAAAGAAGTGTTTTCGTAACCCTCCCACTGTCCTAATAGGTGTGACCCTTCAAGGAAAGTTGACCATTGTGCAGGATTGATGGTTTATCCCTTGAGGTCCACGTGGCAGGGGTGAGGTGCCATGTGGACCTCAAGGGATAAACCATCAATCCTGCACAATGGTCAACGTTCCTCGCGGGGTCACACCCATTAGGACTGTAACGTGATGAAGGAGCTATTCCACCGAAGGTTATTTACCCTCTCTCCTCAGGAAGAACTAATCTGCATGAGACTGCCTCAAGGTCATACATTTGCTTCTAAACTGTTTCCTTTCTAGCTCAAGAGAAGAATGAAGACAAAGGACTCTTTCTTTTTAATAAGTCAAAGAACTCTATTTTAATAAGCTAATCAAACAAAGTGTTAGTCAATATTAAAATGTGTACCAATCTGTGAAATGACAATGTTATGATTAGTAAGTTATAATAAGTAATATAACTTTAAATGTTTCCCCTAGAGACTGATCACACGTAAGGCTAAGTCACATGACACATTTCCTTTTTCTGATACAATCAGAATCTTCCAGATCTGACGGAGGCGTGGTTTTGGTGGTGCTTGGTAAACCTGTACCTTTTTGATTAGACCGTAACTCAAAACATCCAAATTATAAAACTATGCCCACGTTTTCGTAAACTTCAGTTCAAAGTTTTCTAGAGAAGTTGTCGGAGTGGCCAATCCGTAACTTTCCTCTTCAGCCGAAAGAACCTAACGACAAGCTGGATAAATCTGTTGCTGTTCCACCTGCTGCAACGGTTCCTTTCAGAATAAAAGCTGAACCATCACGACCCCGTTTTGGGTCTTGCTGGATGCCAATAAAACTGTTGTGACCCGGAAGTATCTCAAGACTGGTCTGGTCGGTAACCGCTGCTTTTCCTACCAGCTTTGGTTCCAGAGAGGGTCAAGCTGGACCTCGACATTCCTGATCTAACGGAGACTTCCTCAAAGGGTACGTAGGCCGACAGAATGGCGTCTCAATGTGTGTTATAAATCTCCAAACCAAAAGCTTAGCACAAAACATCATCTTCACTCCCATCAGAACTAATCGTTTCTCCGGATTTGCTGGTTCTGAACAACATTCCACACTACACCATTCTCCGTCTCACTTCACCTTAGTTACACCAAACATTTAGTGTTTAAAGTTAGTCTAGTTTGAATTTGTTTAGTAATAAATCTTTAAACTTTTAAAACTTGACTCTCTTTGTTTTGTCTCTGAGTTAATACGCAGTGGTTACATCCCTGCACTAAAAAGTTCCAATCTTCTGGTTTAAATTATCCAAAGGTCCATAAGATTGATTTAGTATTTCCTATGGAATCTCACATTTTATGGTTCATTAAATAACATGTAAATTTAATCGTTACAGGACAGTGGGAGGAATATAGCTTTTCTCCAAACAAGTAAGCATCTGTCTTTGCAATTTTACTTGTAGTCTTTTCTTGTGAAGCCCTTTTTGTGCAAAGCATTTATGTTGCAGAGAAAAAAGCAGTCATTTCAACCCCCACCCTACTTTTAAATAGCCCATTCTTTGATTCTAACTCAGTCAGCATAAGAAGATGTCCACCCTTTGTGAGTGAGATGATGTCTGAAATGATGTCAACAAGTCCTTTTGTTGCGTGGGTGAGTGTAAATGTTTTCTTTTACGCTTTTTGGGAAAGAGGATACTAATTTTATTTTATGGCAAATAGGGAATCTGCAGTTAAATGAAAACTCTCTGATGAATCTTGACTTTATCTTGTTGTTAAAACTATATTACGCCACTTTTTCATATTTTAAATCATTTCCTTGAGCCACTATGTGGTAAAATAACCCTTTACGGGGGTAATTAAATCTCACTCAGACCCCACCACCAGAATTTGGCCAGAATATTGCACTTGCAACTTCAGAGTGGCGGGTCGCCACCTGTTGAAATGGAGTCTGCTTCCAGCATGTTTCCTACATATTTTATGTTGTGAATGCAGCTGATTTGTTTGATTTGATGATGAAACTCTCCTGTAGAAACTAATGAAGGCTGGGAAGACAAATGCACATCAAGAAGGAGAGTTTCACTTTTGGTTCTACTAAACAGACACTAAAAGCAAGTCAAAACTACCAAGTGTGCCTTTAATGCAAACTGCTGTCTTAAAAATGGAGGCAACAGATTTATGAAACTAATGTTTCATTTTCAGCATTTTTGATCACTGTTTTTCTCAAAGTCCTGATCAAGTAAATCCAGATGTGCTCCTTGCAATGACATGTTTCCTTGAAATGAACATAAAAACTGGATTAAACCTAAGAATAATAGCACCTAAAATAATGATGTTGTAATGTACCAGTGGTCAAATTTTCACCAACAAATTGACCAGAAAGTAACCTTTCATTTGCAGACAAAAACACACCATCTGTCTGGCCTCCAAATCCATAAAATTCTGCCCCAGTCCTTGTTACCGTACAAGAAGACACAACATTCTCAGTCAAGGTCTCATGCAGCCGAAACTGCTGCATCCTCACTCTGAATAAAGTGCACCCACCTGAAAGTTCCTAAGTGACTTTACCACTTATAAGTTGAAATAATCAAATGTGTTGAATAAACATGATGTTTAAATCAAATGTTTGAATAATCTGTGCTTTAATCAATGATGGCTTTAAAATGAATATTGTTCCTGCAATGATCCATTTCAGATCTTATCTACACCAGATCCGTATGTGTTGATTAAACAAGTTAATCTATCAGTACTCATACACATTATAATAAGATAATTAGTATGGTTTAACATCCACGTCACATAAGTGTTTAAAACATTATCAGTCACACAAAGAGTTAACCATCTTTTTATCTGAAGGAAGGAGTGACTTCTGAGGTATTTGGTAAGGCCCTCAAACATGTCAGATCCTGATTTGCCAAATTTGTAAACAATGGGTTTTAATAAAACAGGAATTACTTCCCGAATAATTCAGTTTCTCCCTGACTCGAGAACCGGCCAATTCGGGAAAAAGGCATTTTGAAACCATCTTCTCCTTTGACATGAAGTCAAAGCCTCTCTGCAATGCTGCAGGTGGTATCAGACAAAATGACTCTTCTCAGAGCCCACAACAACAGCCTTAGATACAAACAAGCATGCCAGCTTCCTGTCATGACCTGGAGAGATCTCAAGACTAGACGGATCGTATCGGAGCTAATCTACAGGTTCCTGGTACCTCGAGGTCCTTGTCCATCTCAGCCTCGTGACCCCCTGGATCTGAACGGGGATCTCCACACAAAGGGTATCGTAGACTCAACAGATTGCTGGTGGTTTTATAAACAAATCTCTAGTTTAACAAACATACAGTCAATTTTATTTTACAAACCAGACTCCACAAACGCTCTCAGATACTTAAGAAAGGATGTGCTAACACATCAAACATCCACTCCAGCATTTCACACAACACATTAAATCACTTCATATCCATTACACTGTATCATCATTCATACCTTGTCATGTATAATCATTAGTTTAGGTAAATAGAAATACATTCATTTTTATAAACTATATACTTGACTGTCTGAATTAATACAAAGTGTGTTTATGGTCCCTGAATGATTAAACATTGAAAGATCAATCAGATTGAGATTTCATATTTATATGGAATCATCACATCTTATTAATCATTTGTTACATATGTAGCCATTCCTCATTGCTACAATGTTAAATTAATGTTTGTCATTTGCTCTGATCGACACAAACCTTGCAGGGTTTATCTTTACTTCATCATTACTTGGATGGATTCCCAGTTTCAGAATGCCCTTTGGCATTTGCCATGGAGAGATTGAGTTGCAAAAGACATCAGATGGCAACAGCACTGTAGGACTGATGTTTCACTTTGTATCACGATGGATTTGGGCTCATTTGAAGCCTAATTCTGACAGCAGGAGGTGACAGGGCAGCCAAGTGTCTCTATGGCTTGCCTCAGAGTGCAGTACGAAAGGACAGCATGACCTTAAGCTTGGGAGGTGATGGGCCTGAACCAGCTCATTTGTCTTTCTCTGAATCCACATTTTCTCCCTACAGCATCAACAGAACTAAAGTTATTTAAAGTGTTTTGTTCACAAATATCACAGGTGCTCAACTATCGATTACACAGATAAAGGTATTTAGATTTGGTTCAACGTATTCTTCTTGTGCCTGCAGGTTAAATAATTCAGAAAATTAAAAAAACAATATTTGTAATAGCTGTAAAAAATTCAACACACAAACATCAGGTCAGTATCACAAAAGCATAACAAAGAGAAGTCAATTATAGGCAGCAATGCCCCAAGAGAAAGGCATAACCACAGAGTGAAGGTTTCATTGACATATTTGTCGATGCATCAGAGGAAAACTCATATTTACCATAACATTAAAGACCTCACTGCACATGTCCTGCCATGTAGCAAACCAGACAAAACATCTGTTCTAACTGATAATGGTAACACACAACATGCTTTAATTGGCCTTTGCATGAACATATGATTCCAATACACCATTTCCTGATTTGTCCAACATCTGCTATTGGTTATTTGCATGCTTGTGGTCCCAATAAGAGATAGCAAAACTGCATCTTTACAGAAAATCATTTGCTTTGCCCTCCTGCAAGGACAGGTCATGGAGCATGATCAGGATCTGGTCAATTAGAATATATCCGAGTAAAAGAGTCCACTTTCAGTCAGCCCTTGTGTGAAAACAAACCCTTAACACTCATAAAACACATTAGTTGCCATGTCTGGTCCCCTCTATGGCTTCTCTTGTCCTTTCATTTGTCAAACATATCAACGTGCTCTGCCTCTCCTCTAAACCCACAAATATACACATAACCACATGCATCTGATCTCTTTTAAAGGCTCGCCTGCCTGAGCTATACGGTGCAAGGAAAGGGAATATTAGCAGTTTCACACTTACAAGGTCACACACAGCCATGCTGCCGCTCATCAGTAACATAAAACAATAATCCCCTACCATTTCTCCCACTGGTCCTCCATCCACCCCTCTCCTCCTTCCCCTCCTGAGTCCATCCTGTGCATGAGGAGGGCATCCAAAGCCAAGAGAAGACAAGGAGAAGAAGAAGCAAGAGGGTTAGGAAGTGAAGGAGGGAGGGAGAGAGAAAGAAGGAGGAGCGAATAGGATGAGAGCCGGCGGAAAGGGAGGAGGGGTGCAGCTCGTCCGGGTCGATGAACGAGGAGTCAGATTCAAAGCCTTGTTGCTGCTCTTCATCCGGAGGGGAGAGAGATGGATGGGGCAATTGTTTGAAGCTGTGGAGCTGAAGCTGCCAGAACAGAGTGGTGTTATATAAGCAACTAGATGCTGCGTGCATCAGATTTACTACGCCACTGCAGAAAACTGCTCGAGTTAGCAGATCACACAACACGGGAAGCCCCAACGGGAAAAGCATCAGCATGAGTGGACACTCCCATCTCTTCCTTTCTTTCAGCTGAACAGTGTCATGCTAAATTATTCATATGGCCCACTGATCATACAAGTCCTCTCTATCTCGCTGGGCTTTTTTTTTTTTGGTTCATGTAGTCACAAATAATTATTTTCCATCATCTTCCATCACTTTCACTTCCATTTATCCTGTTTTTATGACTAAAAGATAAATACATTTTAAAGCAGTTTCAGATTCAATTTAATCAAGTGCTTTACTGTCAGATCTGTTCACCCATATTACCTCAGTGAAAAGATCCCAATAACCCCCTCACACCAGCTAACTCATCTGGGAGACTCAAGGGCATTACAATACTGGCTGTAAAAAAAATCTCTGCAGCAATTTCTGTTTGTAGCCCATCGGTCTCCTCCAACCAATAGAACATGGGCAGCCATCTGCATCCAGTGACCAGGATCTTCTGAGCTAATCCTACTATTTGATGTAAGTCCACCACTGCCCAACATTTGTGCAAACATCTCAGGTCAAAAGGCTCACATCCACCAGAAAAATACTTAAATCATGAAGAGTACAGAGAGCAACCACAGTGTTAAGCCAAAGACATGATCTCTGCAAGATAGTTAAAAGG